GTATATATATGCCGATATATGTATCAACAATACAATCAAAGAAACCGAACTATACAAAATAAAATAAAATAAATTAGAATTTAAATTCTATAATAGAGAAATAATTGGGGAATAGAGGAATGACAGAGGAATAGTCGGGGAATAGAGGAATAGCGAGCGACCGACCGGAATACATTTTGAAACATTCCCTAAGACCGAAAAAGAAATAAAGAGAAAATTATTCTTATGTGATAATTTGATATATTTGAGATATGCACTTTCGCTTCTAATATTCTAATTCTAATCACAGATATTCACATGTTTTTCTTTACATCTAACAAGAAACCTAACGCAATAGAACGAAACGTTTTCCCTTCTGTTTTCTTTGACGATGAGGAAACAAAGAAATATCTTTACATACAGAAAGAACACGATATATCAGAACACTCTGTATAAAGACAATTGCAAAGAAGTGAAACGATAGATATTCCTTATTTGATACGGCTCTGATGGCAGTGTTCATTTTCAAAGCATATATGTTTCTCTTTTCTAGATATGATGAATATACAGATAAATCTATTTCTTTTCTAGTGCGAGAAAGAAAAGCACTCTGGAGCACACTCACGAGAGAATCCTCTTAGTTGTCACACTCCGATCTTAACGATTTTATTTATTTTGCATGTAAAAGGGCGAATATTGAAAAATTCATAACTAAGTCCAACTACGGTGTGAATAGCTGAAGATGTTATCAAATGAGAAATAGAACACCGTTCTTATACCTCTCTTTTTTTTTGGCTACGAGAAACATCATATCTGAGAACCTTAATTAAATAGTTAGACATATAGAAACACTTATTTGGTGACACATGTAATTGATGGTAGTGAAGAATCACTTTTCAGAAACATACGAGTTTTCCTTAAATAAAGAAAACTCGATAACTTAGCAGCATATAGATACAGAAGGCTGAAACTTTTTGTGCGTATAGCACATATGTAGGAATATTCTAGAAAAAATTTTCAGCTTTTCGTCTCGTGGTTGGACTTAATTATGAATTTTTCAATATTCGCCCTTTTACCGTGTACAGAGAAAAAAGTCATCACTTTTGAAAGAAACGACAAGAACACAAATCCTTTTAGGGTTTTTACTACCACACTGTACACTATCGATTGGCTAAAGATCGTTGAGATCGGAGTTTGATACCTAAGAAGGTTCCCTCGTTAAGCAAAAGAGACATGCATACTTTTAGAACGGGCACTTCTAATCAAATATATGCGGCTTTTTCATAAAATTGCGAATTTTTAAGCCAAACATTTTCTGTAGATAATGTCTATATATATTCATTCTCATTCAAACAGAGCAGTGTCCAGAATTATACAAACACTTATTTTGTAATGAGCTGTGAAGTTCAATTTTTTCCGACTACTAATTTTTAGCTCTCGAAGAAAAGTTAAATTCAAACATGGTGTAACCAGAAATGCTTAAAACTTTAAGCCAAAGTTGTAGGACTTTCCTGATGCACATTAGAAATGTTGTCCTGACTTCCATAGTTCAGCATCATCCAGAGCAGAGATCTCGAATATTTTTGGATGGAAGAGGACCGAAATTGTGGCGGAAAGCTTTAAAACTTTTTAAAAATTAACTAGTTTTACCTAAAATCCTTGAAGAAGAAAGAAAGACTTTTGAGCACTCGAAATCGATGCACTTCTCTTCAAATAATTAACACAAAGGTTTTTCATAAAGTTTTTTCACAACCGGCACATTTTCAACGGGGAAAAGTCATGTCAGAAATTTTCATGGAAAGTCCGAAATTCCGAGAGGGGCTAACACTCCTGATCGTGATTCTGACAGAATAGAATCGGTATTTGAGAAGTTAATTCATAAGATGCACTATAACGTCGAGAATACCACAGAGCAGAAGTGCGAAAATTTTAGGGCTGCCACCATCTCAGAAAATTAGTAAGCGATTTGGTGACTTTTATTGCAAAAAGTTTTCAGAAAATTTCACTAAATTTCTCCGAAACTCGAGAAATTACGGTTAAAAAAGCAGGAAGACCTGCTCATTGATGTGGACCTACAGAAAAGAGTAATCAATACTTTAAAAGTTTTTTTCACAAATATACTTGGAGCAATGGACAACATTTTGGTGAAAACTGTTTGCTAAAAGACTACTCTGCTGACTTATGCTTAAAACAGAAGAAATTTAAGCTTTATACAAAATTTTTCCAGCAGTAGTCACAATTTTTACTCTATCATAAAGTGGCAGAAAAAAAATTGTTTTGCAGCCGTTTGAGTTCAGTGTCTGAATGAGCATGAGGTAAATTGTTTCGCTTGATTGCATCATGTTCCTGAAGAGAAAACCGGGTAAAACAGCGGCTCAGCTGCCTGGAGAAAACTTCAAAGTTTTTGTGACTATGCAAACTGTGCTTTCCAGTATCCTTCGATCCAAGAAGTTGATATCCTGCTGCAAGATTCTTGCACAAGAAATGGGGTATTTTCTATATCAAAACTTTACTACATCGTGTTCTCGAAGAAAAGTCCGAGTAAAACATGATGTCACTAGGATGGAGAAGAGGATTGCAAAATGAGAGAGCGATTATACATGATTTTCTTATGGCGAACGTCTGAGATAAGCGCGTATTTTTAATTAACATAACGGTTAATTAAAAATACGGTTAATGTAAAGAAAATTGGCTAAGAAAACCAATGTCTTTCATGTTTGGCGCCGTTTCTGTAGTGCATGCGCACTAATTTTTAATTATCAGAAAAGGCGCCTTTTTTGGTCTATTTCGCGCTTAGTCTATGCGCTGGAGCATGGTGAATTTAGTTTTAATATTTTCAGCTCAAAAAATGCTGGGAATTCAATAAATGTCCTTATTTTCTGTTCGGTTATTACTGTCCAACTAATGGCGCTATTGCTTTCTTCAGAGCCAATCAGAAAGCAACTAGGAGACATGCGGAAAAATTTTGTTAAAGAATAGAGGAGCTATGATCGAAATTAAATGGCATTTGGGTTTGATGAAACTTTCGCGAACGCTAGTTTATTTTCCTGGAATTTTAATGGTATATATGGGCCACTTGTACACTGTACGGTTCAAAAATTGTTTTTTTTCATATGATTAGGTGATTCGCTAACTAAAACATCCGAGCGAACAGTTAAACAAACGTTTCAAGTGTCTAGCACAGCTCAGTCCGGGATCAGTCCCTCATTTAATTCACCCACAAGTATAACCACACCCACATCCGTACTAACTACGATGTCAACTGCTATACATGAGTCAGCACTGATGGTATGTTATAAAGAAAGTTTACAAAATCTCGCAAAATTTACCGGAGAAGAAATAAAAAAAATTTCTCAATTTATAAACAATATTGAAAGAATTGGGAAAATGATTGAAGCGAAAGACGAAGTTTTATACTGCATGTGTACAGCAAAATTAAATGGAGAAGCACAACGTTGGTATGAAGGTAATACATCATTAACCGAATGGAATGCTTTAAAAGAAGCATTGTTCGAACGATTTGAACCCACAGAATCATTATCAAAAATATCTGAACAATTGAAAGACCGGAAACAACAATCAGATGAAACAATCACGTCATATTACGCCGCTATTATTAAATTATGTCGTGAATATGACCCATCAATGTCTCAAAGAATGATGATATCGTGGCTAGAAAATGGTGTCAAAGATTCAATCAAAATTCAAATAAAACGTCAAATGAAAGCACTCACGGAATCAGCAAGAACAATTCAGGCATTTTTTAAAATTGCCAAAGACGAACAAGAACTATAACACGACAACTTTTCCGAACTTCAACCGACACAATCTTATTTACCGTACTTCAATAACACAGTGTCGACAACATTACCACGAACCACAAATCAATTTCAAAATCCACCTCCGCAAACATATACCAATTCTCAACCGAGTAATGTGTCCTATCGACCGAATCCTTCGTACGTTCGATTGCAAGATCCCCCTAATCTGCAAACATCGCTAGCGAAACCCTATAACTCGGTGAACTCACAACGCTCTTCGATAGTACGACCCCGATCTTCATTTTCGTTTAATAATATACGACAATCACAACGCACAAATGATCCATCATCCGACACATTGCATCAACATACACGTCAGTACGATCCTTGCTCCATATGTCACCGAATCAACCATCGTAGAATTGATTGCTATTACAAAAAATCGAATGGTTGTTACAATTGTGGACATTCCGGCCATCGAGTACGCGATTGTCCACAGGTTTTTCACTAACTGGAACCCGTGATGGTGGCCATTCCAGTATACAAAATCCATCAATAACATTCCACAAATCATCGAGTCCCATTTACATCAAAGTCCAAGTAAATCAAACACCCCAACATGCCATATCCGCGGTCACCATCATCCACCAACAATTATTGAAGAAGATTCATCATAAGAAATTTATTTACAAACGTAAAATCCATGCATCGACCAGTTGCACATCTGTTAATATTATCGGCGAAATTCATCTTGAGATCAAAATACAGGGACACCAAACATGGATAATCGCCGATGTTGCGACAAATCTAGTTACAGATTTATTACTTGGAACTGATTGGATAACACAAAACAGCGTTATCATTGATTCTCCACAACAACGTATTATTCTAGTCAACAAATGTCATCAAGTAATAGCCTATACACCGTTCGTTGAACCTCCCGATATTCGTTTTCCCGTATTTTTAATTGATCAAATTACCTTTCCACCATACTCCGAACAATGTATTGATGTAGCAGTCCCGTCACTGTTCGGTAGAAACACCTTCGTCAAGAATGTTTTTCATCAGAGATCCGTGAACAGATTGAGAAGTTGACACGACATATCGAGAACCCGAAACAACGACAACAAGTACAACAAATTCTATGGCGCCACGGACAATTATTTGACCTGCGTCAACCCTCTATAATCAAAACAACAGTTCGTCATCGAAACAGGAAATCATCCACCCGTATATACTTCAGCATATCGCGTCTCATATAAAGATGAGCAAATACAACGGGATGAAATTAATAAATTATTAAAAAAAGAAAATAATCGAGGAATCCACCTCTCCGTGGTCATCACCTATCGTTCTCGTTCGAAAGAAGGATGGATCTATGCGATTTTGTATCGATTTTCGAAAGCTCAACAGTATAACCACAAAAGATGCATTCCCAATTCCTCGAATTGATGATATTTTCGATCATTTAGCACAAGCTGAATATTATACCACGATTGACTTCAAGTCGGGTTATTTTCAAGCTGGACTTGATCCGAAAGATCGTCCAAAAACAGCATTCTCCACCCGAGATCAATATCTTCAGTTCACCGTATTACCTCAAGGCGTTACAAATGGACCGCCAGCATTCCAGCGAATAGTTAGTCAAATACTAGGACCAACACGTTGGCAATATTCCTTAGCATATCTAGACGATGTGATTATATACTCACAAACATTCGAATAGCATTTATTACATCTCGACGATATATTAAATCGCCTAGATGAAGCGAATTTTCGATTAAATGTCGATAAATGTCACATAGCCAAGACGACTATCAATTTTCTCGGACATTGCGTTGAACACGGTAATATCCGACTAATTCCGATAACATCCGCGCATTATTAGAAACCCCGCTCCCACGGACAGCGAAGGATGCCTTTCGATCCGTAAAGGCAGCTGAATACTACCGAAAATTTATACCCTGATTCACGAAGATAGCCCAACCATTACATAAATTCGCACCGACCACGAAAGAACAACGACGTAAAAAGTCGAAATCTTTACCCGTTACTTTATCCGATGACGAACTCAACGCATTGAACGAACTGAAGCGAATCTTAACTACTGATCTTGTATTACGCATTCCAAACGAACAATTACCATTCAAGATACAAATCGATGCATCCAAAGTTGGAATAGGAGCTGTCCTACTGCAGACTCATTCCAATGGTGACCTTCCGGTTGCATATTTATCCAGAAAGTTAAAACCCACGCAGATGCATTGGCCTGCCACCGAACAAGAATGTTATGCCATCATATCAGCCATTGAAAAATGGCTAAATATCTTGATGGACGTCCATTTGTTATTGAAACAGATCATAAACCATTATTACCATTTAATTTAAAACAACAACTGAATTCAAAATGCGAGCGATGGCGTTTAAAATTACAACAATACCAATTCACCATTCATCATATTAAGGACAAACACAGTACAGTAGCTGATTATTTATCACGTTCGCCTGTCGATGATGCAACGAACGACGAAGATGATTATCTCCCAACTACGTCCCGAGGGACACAAACCGAAAATTCTACATCACTACAGATCGTAGCACCCGTTGTCACCCGAGCGCAATCAAAACGACATGATAAGAGGGCTGATAGTTATGCGACGGATCAGACCTGTGATCCACTGCAGCAGAAGACGGATGATCACACGCCCGTCGATCACTCCTGTGTTGCACAAGACCGCCCGAGGACCACTACAAACGTCACTGATAATTCAATCGTTCCATCCGCAAAAGGTGATATCAAAGCATTGAACCCAAATGATCCGAATCAAATTACCCCATTTACACACGAACAATTAAAAGTATTACAACATCAGGGCGAACAGGCAGCACAGATAATCCGGAATATTGAAGATTACCCGAAATATTTTATCAACGACAATATGTTGATGAGAAAATCGTCTCCACCAGTCCCATTCGTACCGAAAGGACAAATACGCGCAGACATTATAAAAATTTATCATGATACACGTGGAAACGGAGGCCATTTTGGTCGTGATCGAACGATATCGATAATTGGCTTTGGGGACGTATATACCATCAGATTTGGTTGGACGTGAGCGATATGATATCATTAAAGGTGAAGAAGAATTACGTTTAGCAATGAAAGATTATGCCATCAATGACTGCTTTGCAGGCACATGAGTGATGTATCCAGTTATATACCAATGGTCACGGGAACAAGTTAACAACTATCAACAGACGCTGGAACAATTATTGTCACAACGTACATTAGCGCAACAATCACTGGAATATGAACAGATATCTGATGATGAACTGGCGGTTGTTCATGTACGAGATGAACGGCCGTCAGTAGTGGAAGATCTATTCGATGATAAGGAAGAACAGCAACCGCTGGTTCATGTAGAATATGAACTGCGGACTCCATTAGCACATCAGTTGTTTTACAGGTGAGTTATCAATACACGTTGAGGAACCGCTAACACCTTTATTTTTTCATTCATCATCGCATCGACACTCATCATCATCAACGACTCGTGTGCTTGAATCATCATCTCACGCATCATCACATCGTACATCATCAACAACAACTCGTACCATACACATTGAACCATCATCGAATCGTCCATCCTCCACATCCACAACTCGTACAATACCCGCTGAACCACCATTCCATCGACCACCATTGACAAAAAAGCAGCGGAAGAATCGGAAGCGTCGAGCCAAACGATATAATTTCGAAGTAATTCGACACCTTTACAAGGATTTTACCACTACCACTGTCAAACGAATCCTCATCGATATGAACATCCATTGGGTTAATTTCAACATCGTTGGACATGTATTATTCATTGGATTAAAAGATGAACGAACAAAACAATGGGTCGAAGAAATGTTACATCCAAATATACACACATGATCACTATGTATATGTTCACACATGATCATTATCGACGCATTCAAACGAAGTCCCGTCGCCGCTGAACTTTGACGTGACACGTATTTCTCTCCATAAAGTAGTAGTGATGAACATCTCACTTCTATTCTATGTCTAGTCAACTGGTCAGATATGCTGCGTTTTTCTTTTTCTGTTTCTATCCGCATTTACGTCGTGCACAGTTATTGATTATGTTTCTCTGGGTTTTATATATTTAGTGCACCAAAAATCTCACAACTAACTATTGCATCATTATCATTCTCCTTCTTTTGAACTTTTCTGTGTGAAGACACACATTTTTTGTTGCGGGGATGATTGTTAGAGGCTATCAGCCTTCACCGTTACATAAATATATATATTTTCCTTTCGTTTTCCTTTTCAAGTGATATTCGTTTTTCGTTCGCCCATTTTACGACACACGTGTATGACTATACATGTATGACTTTTCTTTTCCTTTCCGGTCATTGTCATCCTTCACCTTTTTATTCCGTTGATACAGATAAATATATAGACGAACATTGTCATCGTCTTTTTCCTTTCGTTGTTTTATTTCTGTTTTTTAAATAAACGTCGGATGATTCAATTTGAACTTCACACTATCCCCTAATAGAGAGGATGACTACAATATGATTGTATCTATAGATAATTCAGCTCTGCAGAAATATGCAGATGATTATGATTCTCTTCACAAAATAGACTAGGACAATTGGCGTATACTAGATCGAGATAGTATGAATATTGGCTATTAATAAAAGAGTCTTTGTGTATTTCTACACTCTAAATGGTACGGTTAGATACGTACTCTTAATCGTGTTTCCAAATGGTCTATCAAAAAACAGTCAAATGCTTTTGATCCAGGAGGTAAAAGAATGAATGAATAATAGGAATGAACAGTGCAGACGAGACGTTACTTTTCTCTATAGTAGAAAAGAAAAGAGTGGTAAAGAAACCTCGTTCTTTTTCTATGATTAGTACGAGTATTGTCATATATACACATGTTTTCTCTCATTTTGTTGGACTTAATTTTATGTACAGTATATTCTCTTGAAAATGACCGTATGGACAGTCGAAACGTTGAGTAATATTAATTTTAATTGAACAAGATATAGATGCTACTTTTCTCAAACGGTTAGATTTTTCTAAATTATTGGTTCTAAATCGATTTAATGCGGAAACAATAATGTGGTACTGGCCACAACAGGGTGAGATATGAGAATGTGTTAAATATATGCATCTTGTTGAATAATCGACATCTTACAACGTTACCAATACCCGCCAATTCAAATATTTTGTTCAACATTGTTGTTAGACCAGGTTTAACACTAGATGATTTAGCTGAAAAATCGAACGAACGTGGCCTTGAAATTAAACGTTCAACATTGTATTACTGGTAGCCTTAGGATTTAATGGATTCATACCTAAGTCTGAATTCTTCTTCCTCTGTTGGTATATTTATAAACAGTGGTTTTTAAAGGTTCAATAGAGAGTTACACATCCAGATGCGAACTCATGTCACTTCTATAAAGATTGAAACGGTGGTGTCTATCAAGTGTTTTCTCTGTGTTTAGACTACGAAAGAAACACGTCAGAACTGTTAATGTACGTTTAAAAAAGGCAAAAAATCACAACCACGCCAAGTCACACACTTTGCTGCTGCAACGATTCGTTCGCTAAAGATTTGGCTGGTTTATTTGGAACTGAACGTGTGTTTTTTTCGTCCCAAGACGCATCTAGATTATCAAATTCATTTGTCGGATCACGATTTTGTCGTCACTTCACGACACCAACTTACACCATCAGTTTATGCTTCTTGTTTAATAAAAGGGGATAGTGAAGTCGGTTATAGTGGACCGATATATATCGCGAATCGCTTGAGTAAACATAACAAAAGCAGCATAGAACTGGGGCAGATCATGAACTTTAGGCACGACGTATTATCCGAGACGACCGGTTGTAAAGATCCGAAAATTAAAGTTGTTCAAAAAGGTTTGGTGAGGGTGAACAACTTTAATTTTCGGATCTCTAAAGCTTCTGTTTTTGAAGTCAGACCTAGAAACTAAAACTGGGCCAAAACCGTCTTTATATTCGTGATCATCACCGTCGATTACGTATAAGAACTAGGGGTGGCGCATTTCCTTTACTGATGCGTTACTTTACTGAGTAAAGCAACGCTTTCAAATATCATCGTATGAATGACGAACAACCGAAAATGTATTGTTTTATCACCTTCCAGACACAATGCGACTAAAGCGTTACTATATTATGCGTTACTGGTAACGAGTAACGCATGCGTTATTGCGTTACTGGTAACGAGTAACGCATGCGTTATTGCGTTACTAGAAAAGTAACGCAAAAAAGCGTTAAAGTAACGCAAATAACGCTGCGTTACTCGTTACAAAAGCTATGAAAAATAAACGCATGCGTTACTCGTTATCAGTAACGCAATAATGCATGCGTTACTCGTTACCAGTAACGCAATAACGCATGCGTTACTGCGTTACCTGTAAAGAAACGGTAAAGCGCCACCCCTAATAAGAACAGTAACTTCATAGTTACAATGATTAATCACTCGGGACGATTCCCTCGTCAGTTTTTGGTAGCCCTTTCCTTTTTCCGTTAGAAAATTATGCGACGAAAAGTCAACGACAAATTGACTGGAACAAACTGACCGCAACGAATCGACCGTGCGACGAATAGACTGCGACCAATTGTCCGCGATGAATTAACTGGTCACCATGATGCTCTTAATCTGAGGTCGAAAACTTGCATGTTCATTTTATGTTTAAGATAGATAAAGATAACTTTTTCAGCAGTGTTATACTCTTTTATTTTCTTCCAATGATGAAGTCAGGAATTCTTATTCATAACGAACCCAAAAAAGTTCCAAACAAAAATTCCGAGTGTTGCTAATTAAATCCCAATTTCCTGTGAAATTCGTTTAACAAATGACACGTTCCTAGACAGAAGTTTGTAGAGCAACTAAAGAGCTATCGATTGCTAAAAAAAATTTTGCTTCAAACCCTTTGCGTCGATTAGAAAATCCAATTTATCAACGTGACGCTGTGACAGTTTTCGTGACGCTGTGACACTCGTTTTTTTTCTCACCAAGGCTGAGGTCTTTAATGAGGATATAATTGTTGGAAGAAACATTCTTTACCCCTAAAAGAGCGAAATTACTCTGTTTCTGCACTCGAAAGTAGTTCTTGAACCTAAGGACTCCTCTAACCAATGGCTGAGCCATCGTTTTCTTCCACCTAAGACACTTGAAGTATGATAATAATAGCTATGAGCTTTCTTCAACGATGGAGGCGCTTAGCCACTAGTATTTAAGAACACGCTATCTCAAATACTAGTGTTTCTCCAGCTCGGGACGAAGACCCTGCCTCCTGGAACTGGGTAGTGTTTTTTTCGTACATTTTTTTTCGCTTTTCTGTAGCCTAATCGTCAAGAACCTTGGCCAAGGCAACATTTTCTTTTTTGCCGGCTTTCAACTTTCAAAACACACTCACACTCATACAACATGTATTTTTTGGATTGAGCCGATTATTTGTCACGCTCGGAAGCGCTTGCAGAAATGAATATAAAAAAAAAAGAAAAAAAGATGGACATATTTATCAATCTGGATACAATAAAAATAAACAACACATGGCAGTAGCACAACATGATTTAAATCTCCATTCAGTTTTACTAGCTATAAATAATCTGACTGTAAGGGAATAAGGTTAATAAGAGAACACGAACGACACAGACACAAAGATATAAACATACATCAACAAAAAGGGACAAAAAAGGAAGGTATACATAAAGATATCACGGAAGACAAACATACCATAATAGTTAGTACCTGTCTGCAGAGGAAAAGAATAAAATAAAAATAAACCAACACTATATATTTTATATTGTCTTCTAGTGTTCATCAATAAAAGTCAACCAGTTTAACAATAAAGACGCATGTCTTTTTTTCATCTTTTGTACGTTTTTTTACATTTTCTTTTTTGCCGGCTTTCAACTTTCAAAACACACTCACACTCATACAACATGTATTTACCAACAACCGCTGCAGTGAAAACAAAATATACCGATAATAAAAAAAATTCCTTTAGTCATATTTAATTATTTTTTTTGTTGAACTTAATGAATAATATCTACATTCAAGAGTTTTATTATCAATTACCTTTACACAATGTGTTTTGAGTGTTCTGGTACAGATTTAGCTACTTTAAATATATTTTCTAGTTTTATTTTGAATTATCAATATCGTTTTTCGCAATTTCAATTATAATTATCTTCCTTGTTTTCTGTTGCGCTAACTTAACAAAATCTTCCGCTGATTTACAATTATCACCTGCCAATACTGCTGACCAAACGAGCCTCTTAACAGTTCCACCGAGACCATTAACAACACCTTTTCCATGACTTGTAGCAAAGAAATTCCAACTTAAAGCTATTTTATATTCATGAGCAATCTGAATTAAACTACGAAACATAAAACGTTGCTTAAATTGTGAGGCTGCGCCACCAGAAAAGAAATTAATGTGTTTTAAATTCGGTACATGTGTTTTAAGTTCATTTAAAATAATTTGAATAGCTGCGTTTACAACAAATTTATCGTGAGAGACGTCATTCGATGGAAGCGTAAATGAAAAACCTTGACTTTTAGACCATACATAAGCTGTAAATATAGATAGAGTTTTTGTATTCCAATGAGCACTTTGAATTTCGTCTTGCTCTTTCAATCCAAAATTTTCAGCGAAATCAACTTGTATAACAACTTTTTCATCTGTTACTTCTGACTTTAACTGTTCGAAATATTTACTTT